AGGTGGCTAGTCCACTGGAAGGTACCAACTGCCCTAACTGGGATTCAAACTTGCCCAGAAGGTGAACCCTGGGGTTCCACACCAATAACAGAGACATTGCCTCTGGGCCAAAGCGCCACTAGGAAATATATATATGCGCAAATATAATATGAAAGTAAAATTTGCCCACGCAACCATCGAAGCACCATGGTCCTGTCTCCTGGTCCTGTGTTGACATCACTCAATTTGACTCCTGTGTCTGTTGTTTGCGGCTGGGAAATTAACTCTACTGAGTGGGATAACTGACACCTACTGGCGGGAGTGTGTACATCAATATTACCAGTGTGTCAGAAACATGGTGTTTGAGAAGGGTGTGAATAAATTGATAACTGAAGTTCCTGTTCTGATCAATACCAGGCGTTTAACAGTGCCTTGACACCATTGTAAAATTGATTATTTTACAGTTGTGTCAGTCGGCTTGTCAGTCTATATAAGGCGTTCCCAAAGTGGGCTGCGCAGCGCCATTGCAAAGAGGAGGCATGGAAGGAGTGAATAAATGAAATGTAATGCAGCATATTGTCCAATGCCGTACATGTTTAACAAGAGAGTGTTAAAAAAAAAGGATTGCTTGAAGGCGGTGTAAAATAAATATCCGGTAATAATATTGTAATGGACGGTGTTATTTTTCATTCTTGCTCTTGTTTTTGCTATAGCCCGGTTCGATCTCCCCACACACCAGATCTTATTCCTGCCAACCTTGAAGGCGGTGTGCATGAAATGGACTAGCATGAAATGGACAAGTTTAATATGCATAAAAACAGTCACATTTAAAAATGTATAAAATAGATTAATAAAATAATAAATTATTATTTAAATAATATAAAATAATTATTTTTTTGTGTCGGGTCCGAAAACATTTTTATGAACCAAAGGCGGGCCCCGCAGCGGAGGTTTGGGAACAACTGTTTATGAACCAAAGGCGGGCCCAGCAGAGCAGGTTTGGGAACAACTGGTCTATATGTATATATATATATATATATATGTCAGCCAGCATAGAGTTATCTACTCCTCTGCACGAATGAATGAATGGAAAATCTTTCCCGCAGAGTGTAAATGCCAACATATGTACAACAAGCAACAATAACTGAAAGCATTGGATATATACAGTGCGAGTCATTGTGCTCATTTGTTAAAAAGATGAATCTGAATCATTTCTGAAATGATGTCATTGTACAAAACAACAAACACACCAACAGATGTGTGGAAATGTTTGTCCATCCGGTTGTAACTACTGCAAAAGACAAAGAGTTCCTTTGGCCGAGACACAAAGAGGAAACACAATCTGCCCCAGCACTTACCTAGAGGAAACACACACATACGTGCATGCACTGGAGCTGCCACTTAAACAGGTGAACGGCATCTGACCACAAGCTGAACCAAAAACCTTTGTCTGTTGCTGTAAATAAAGACAGATGGACATAGGAAAATAAGATACAGTAGACAGCCAAGAAAGGAAGGTAAGAAGGAGACAGTTTATAGTTAGGAAAGCAAGGACATTGGTAGGAAGATCAGTAGGAAGGTAGTTCCCTCGTAGGTCTTGTTGTCGTAGCTGCACTGACTCCAGAGCTGACGAGTCATCTCCATCTTTATGAAAACAGTGCCCTCTAAATGCTATGTGGTGAATGAGCGTACTGCACACTGTTGTCTGTGAGTAGGGCAACCTGAGTCGACTTCCTTGTCCTGAGTCGAGGGCATGGCCTCCAATTGAGCAAGGGCAGTATTTAAGCTTCAAGCACCACTCGGATTCAGTGCCACCGCGTTCTATCCTACTGATGCTAACTCGCCTGTTGTTCGGCTAACTTGTTGGCGCTTCTCGTGCTCCAAAGTAATTTCTGTCTTTTTGGGCTTTTATTGCTCCAAATTTTTGGAAAGTTTGGAGGTTTTTTTTTCCATCCAGGATTTTGCCACCACTGCCACTTGTGAGTGGAGCACCTGGTACCAAATCAAGATTCACCATCCCTTACGCTTTGTCCCCACCATCGTTCTCTCCACTGTCTGCTTCTGGATCCTCCTTCTTTGGGGGTATCAACTGACATGTAACAGAACGAAAATGTAACAAGACATGTAGGAGGATGGGTATAAAGGTAAGAAGGTGGGTAGGTAGAAATCAATGACGAAAAGAATGAAATTACACAATATTATATTATGTAGGAGGATGGGTATAAAGGTAAGAAGTTGGGTAGGTAGAAATCAATGACGAAAGGAATGAAATTACACAATATTATAAATGTGTTATTCATATTTCTATCTTTGATCCAACTTCTGGTCTGTCGCCCCCTGCAGACCACGTTTGGTTAAAGTCTTATTTACATGATCGCTGCACAATGACTAGCCCTGTACTTTAGTGTATTCATTTGTTCTAAAAAAAAAAAAAAAAATAGCAGCCCATTGATGGTCTGTTGACTTCAAACAGATTGTCGATTTTGTTTACCGGAACATTCCAAAAATATCCAACACCATTATTTGACTCAGTCTGAAATATCACAGCAATGGCCCTCACATTCAACATGACAGAGGTGTATAATAAGTAAAAAATATTGCATTGTTGTACCTGAGTACGTGTTTCATGTGTCCGCACAAATCCCATTTCATTGATGGGGTGACAAAATAGTCTCCCTCTTTCTCTCAAGTTTGTAACTTGTCTTGCAGGGTTGAGTCCCGAGCATGTTTAAATTTCTAGTTTTAAACAATGTTATTAACAATGATAGAAATAGTTCTATCACTGTTCCACATTAGTCAACATCCTACCTGTGTACGGGTTTTTGTATGTTTAACAACCAATACAGTTGGTGATACTCCTTATATGACCTTATGAAACTTACATCAATTCTTTATGCCCTGATTTCAATGATCATAATAATCATAATAAGTATCGAAATAAGTTCTAAAACTAGAAGAAATACCTGCAAGAATAATCAGACAACGTTTAAGAATTCTTAAAAATATGTCAGTGCTTCCCACAGGATTTTAGAAGACTGTGGTTTTGGAGGCTGGGGGGGCAGAGATATTGATTATTATCACTACTTTTTATGGTCAAATTCAGTGGGGTTTTCCTTGTGGAAGCCAAGGGAAGGCAGTGTAGCTGTCATTTAATAAAAACAGCCTCTTCTCCTCTTCTATGAAAACAGTGCCCTCTAAATGTTGTGTGGTGAATAAGTGTACTGCACTCTGACTTTCTTGAAAATGTCCCCATGTGGTGAAATGAGACTGGCGGGGCCAAATGGGAAACGCCATATATATATATACATATATATATATTAGAGATAAGACAATATATGTATATATATATATATATATATATATGCCCTATCCCTGTGACCAAGTGACTTTTGTTTTTTTTTGCACTTTGTAAATAAACCTGCTGCGCCTGAATGGAGTCTCCCTTGTGCTGCATTTGTTGTCCTGCCTGACTAGGAGGCTCTGTTGGCCGAGTCAGATACCAGCCTCCCCAGTGGTTCCGGAGGCGATGGTCACTCCACCAATATAGTGGTTTCTTAGGCTGCCACTCCTCCAATGGGTTTTGGTTCTACAGCAGACGCTCCCTCTGTGATTCTCCATTCTGCTGCTGACACTCTTAGGACTAGGTCGTGGATCAGCAGCAGATGGCGCTATGGACGCTTTGACTCTTGGGGTGCCTTGGTCTAGGAATGGGACTCCTATTCAGAGACATAGGCCACCCTGGACCAAGGTACAAAAGAATCCGGGCCAAGGGTTAGGGTCGTTGGGCATCACCTGTGTCTCTGTCATTAGCCTCACTCATGTCACCTGGTGCTGTGGGTATATAAACCTCTCTCTCTCTCCCTCACAGTTTTGTGTCGTGTTGTAGTTCATGCCTCGAAGTGTGTGTTTTGGAAAGGTCCGTGCCTTGTAGTTTATGCCTTGTTCCTGTGGCCACGTGAGTTTTTGTTTTTTTTGTTTTGTTTTTTTTTTTTGCAGCAGGTAAATAAACCTGCTGCACCTGAACAGAGTCTCCATTGTGCTGCATTTGGGTCCTGCCCGCTTCCTGTCGCGATCGCACGTAACAGTATCGGAATAAAGGAACAGTTCAAATATAACATGCAGCAGCCTCAAGTCGCCTGTGTTCACTCAGACTGGCAGTCAGACCATAAAAAAAAACCCTTGCTGGACCTATTGTTTTTTTTCTCTCAGTGTCTGTGCAGTTTATTAGTCCAACCGCTCGTTATGATATTTGGATCTGAAATTCTTTATACGCTGTCATGGTGTATTATTAGCTATTGAAATCCATCCCAAAATTGTAGTCCTGTACTTTTATTTCGACGTGGTGTCTAGGTGTAGTGGCTGTTTTTTTTGTTTTTTTTTCTCCCCCCACTCCAGTTGTTTGCTTTCTGTGCGCGCCAGCGTGTTGCTGTTTGTGACTCACGCCCCTTCTTTCCACTCAGAGCGCACGCACGCACGATGTGCGGCATCGGGTAAATAAACTAGTGGAGAAAGGAGGAAAATGGCTCTCACTTCAATCATTCACTTTAAAGAGGCAGCTCTTGGAGCGAGAGACCAATCTATCGTGTCCAACGTTCACTTGTCTTTTATGATCGTGTGTTGAAACGGGAGCATAAAGTAGGCAGTCAAAGAACAAGAAGTGGCAATGAGCAAAAGAGAGAGGGAGAGAAAGAGAGAGAGAGAGAGAGAGAGAGAGAGAGAGAGAGAGAAGAGGAGGGATGTGCAAGCAAATGGCAGGAGGTGGAGCCAGAAAGAGGGAAAGAAAGTGAGTGAGAGAGCGAGAAGAGAGAGAGAGTGAGTGAGTGAGTGAGTGAGTGAGTGAGTGAGAGAGAGAGCAAAAGTGTGTGAGAGAGGAGGATGACAGGAGCTGTGGTTGTTGCTGCAGCAGCAGATCAGGACACAGACTCTAAAACAACAACACGCCTCCTCATCCACCTCTGCCTCCCCCTCATTCTCTTTGCCTTCCTCCTCATCTCTTTCCTACTCCTGGAAAAAAAAAAAAGCCCAAAAAACTTGCCTCTGCCTTTGTCATCATCATCACCATCATCCTCAGCTGTGGTAAGTAGGATAAAAAGTGCTCCAGATACATCTGAGACAGCTGAGAATAGAAAGAGAAAGAACAAGGAGAAGAAAGAGAGGAAATGAACAGGAGGAAGAAGGGAGCGAGGAGGACGGGACGAGGGCAGAAGATGGGTGGAGGTAGTAGGAGGAGAGGCGAAAATAGAATCAGAGTAGAGAAACTTGTTCGGGGGTAAATAATATCATTTTAACAGACCAAAGGAGAAAAGATAGAAAAAGTAAAAAAAAAAAAAGAGACAGGAAGGGAAAGTAAAAGATTAGGTTGAAAAGAAAAGAGAGGAAAAAGTGGGGTTTTTTTTGTGTGTGTGTGCGCGCGTGTTTGTGTTTTTGTGTGTGTGTATTGGTCGATGTAATCCAGGGCCATGAATTAGTGATGAACTTCTCTGTTTGCTATTAACAGTGGTTTAGCGTTCACGTGCACGCACGCATGTGTATGCGCGCACACATCCACTCATTTACTTTTTTCGTTCATGCTTTCGTTCGAAGCGTCTTTTTCGGGTTGGTGCGTGCGTAACACCAATATGTTCACTAACATCGAAATGGCGGTTGCGATTCAAAAAGCAAAGCAAAAAAAAAAAAAGCAAAGACTTAGACTAAGAGCATGATGATCCTCGGTATTTGTCGCAGAAACATAATCAACCGTCTTTATTAAGTCATTTGATCAACGTCACAAAATCAGAGACGAGTAAAGATGAAAATAAATAAATGTATTAAATGAGGATTTGATCGTTTTAATGATTCATTAATTACACACGAAACTTACTTCGGTGCTAACCTGGTGACCTTTAGACCCTATTTGTGCGTCCTTGTGACTGTCTGACTTCACCTCCGCCTTTATCGCAGCCAGTGCTCTAGGGTCATGGATGTCTGTCATGTTTTATTACTGGCTCCTTCTTCTCCTTCTCCTCCTCCTCCTCCTCCTCCTCCTCCTCCTCCTCCTCCTCCTTATTATTGTCTTCTTGTTTTTGTAATAAGGTGATACACTTCCACTCCCAGCTCACAATTGGATGTGTATCTGTGTACAGAAATATGTATATACATGCAAGTAAGACATGCACAAAGCCACTGGTGTCGAAGTGAAGCGATGAATGTGAAGTGAATATACAACAATGTCTGTTTGGACTCTAACTCCACAATCATTTGTTTGGCACTTTAGCACACGGGTCCCCAACCCCTGGTCTGGTGACCTGGTGTCCCTTTACTTTTTTCATTCAAATATAATCTGGCGATGTTTTCAAACAATAGTTCATTCAGACGTTTTATTCTGAAATTTGAATGATTCTTCAATGATGGTGCGGTAACACCAATCAGCAGTAATGGCTGACACCAACCGACCAGTCCTCGGTACAAAAAAAGCTTGGGGAACCGCTGCTTTAGCAAACAGTGGTTCTGATTGGGTCCCACATATCCTTTAAGTCCATCACAACCCAATAGAGTAGGAAGATTCCCACGGAGGATATTAGCGCTTTTCCGTCAGTATTTGTCCAGCAGTCACATCGTGTGAGTGTGTTCTTACCATGTTATGATATTTATACTTTCTTTTAAACAACCAGTGCTGACTTTTTGGTCTTTTATGTAACATTTCCAGAAGTCTGTACATTCAGCTCCATGTGCTCAGTTTTCAACAGCTGTTCAAAAGATCAGGCTGTTTTAAAGGTTTCCGACAAATAAAACTGCTAACAAAGGCTTGGCCTGACACATGAGACCGGAATCATTCCTCTTCAGCGCTTCATTCCTGTCATTTATCAGCTGATTCAGGACCTTCAGTCAGTTCATGGTGTTCATATCATTGTCAACAAGAAAAAAAAAAATTGACCTACTTTTGGTTTTGATCACCTACTGCAGTTCTAAAATTGACCTACTTTTGGTTTTGATCATCAGTCACCTACTGCAGTTCCCGCTTCTTTGACCCTCTGTCGATTTATCTGCGTGCCGGATGGACGGATTTAGTGTTTTCTGGACTGATGATATTCCTTTTATTTATGATAACCTTCACTTGTTCTTTTAAATGTGGACATTAAACACCAAAAGGGTTTGAAATTATGATGTCAGACATCCAGATTTTAGTTGTTAGAATCTTGTTTTGATGTAAATACATGTGAGGTACAGGACTTCTGGGCCTTAGCACCTCAGATCCGAGATGTGACGCTGAAAGCTTTTGGACATCACACAGTGGCCGTCTCAATAATTAAAAACGCAGTGTATTATTGACTGTAAATACATTCCTGTATTTACAAGCTGTACCGTTGAGGCAAAGATGGAGCTGAACCGAGAGGCAAAGCCCTCGGTCAATCTACGTTGCTACCCTCATCTATGGTCATGAACTTTGGGTCGTGACTGAAAGAACAAGATCCCAGATACAACTGGCCTAAATGAGCTTTCTCCGCAGGGCGCTTCCTTAGAGTAGAGCCGCTGCTCCTCTCCTTTGATAGGAGGTTTGGACATTTAAATAGTATGCCCCCCCCCCGGACACCTCCCTTGAGAGATGCTCCGGACATGTTAAACTGGGAGGAAACCCAGAGGAAGACCCAGGACGCACTGGAGCGCCCGTGTCGCTTGGCTGTCCTAGGAACACCTTGGGATCCTCTCAGAAGAGCTAGAGGAAGTGTCTAGGGGGGGAGGGAAGTCTGGGTGTCCCTGCTCATACTGTTGTCCCCGTGATGCGGCACCGGATACGTGTACGTGTTCTTAGGAGGATAGTTTTAATTCTGAGTTTAAGAAAATTCCGAAGTCCATTTAGGGCAAAGGTGTTGACGTAACTTGACGTGACTGCAGCAGTTCATCCGCTGCCATATTGTTGTTCTACATCTTGCCTCATCTACTACTAAAACATCCATCTCCGTGTCCTCTTTCACTATCCACAAATCTGCGCTGGGATCTTCTTCTGTTCCTCTTGCCTTGCGCATCCATCTCCAACATCTTTTGTCCAACATTTTCACTCCCAACATCTCTCCCTGGCACTTGTCCATACCATCTCAACATCTCTTTAACTTAGGGTACACTCACAGTAGGGCCAGTTGTTCCACACCGTGCCGAAGCACTACTATCCCTGTACCTCGCTACGACTCACGTTATCCGAAAGGGTCAAGCCTGCCGAAGCCCAGTTGCCTCGTCAGTGACTGCTTTCTTATCGCGCATGTGTGACCAAGTGTACCGTGGTTTGGCCTCATTTTTCCAACCATCCCAAAGCAGCATACGCTTACATTAACCTTAGAATCTGGACTATAGGGGGCAAACATGCTTGACATTAATATGATGACCCCAGTATGAGTGTACCCTTAATCTCTGAACTGATAACCAGGGCTGTTGTATTGAGACCCCGATCTCCTCCTAATGCCTGGAACTCTTCTCTGCTCTCTCCCATCTCATGTGATCAATAGCAGGACAACAACATGTCTCCTCTCTGTGATCAATGAGGCAGAAAACAGGAATTTGATCACTCATTGATGCGGATCAACGAAAGCATTCTGATTACTGATCAAAAGGCAAATTCACTGGCCTTTTCTTTTATATACTGATGTGATCTGGTGTGGCGCTTTGGCCCAGAGGTCATGTCTCTGTCATTGGTGTGGAACCCCAGGGTTCACCTCCTGGGCAAGTTCGAATCCCGGTTAGGTACCTTCCAGTGGACTCACCACCCGCAGGAAGGTTTAGAGAGGTTGGTACGGTGCAATGTGATTTGGGTGGTAACTGCTTCCCTCGCGACCCGATAATGGATAAGCGGATGGATGGATGGATGGATGTGATCTGGTCACATTAGCAAATTACAAGGAAAAGGAAAAAAAGCTGCAGGACTAAATGACAACTGCTTTGTTTGTTTGTTGATCACACCTGAAAAGGAACTATGGAACTCATGGGTACCATAAGGCATGGTCTCCCCCCCCCCCCCCCCCCCCCCCCCCCCCCCACACACACTTTGGGAACCACTGGTTTCAATCAAAGCTTGTGTTACATTTGTTCACTCTGTTCTCCCCTATCAGTGATGTTTTAGCTCAACCAACAACCAACCAACAACCAACCAACCAATTTAGCAAATGTCCATTTTATGTGACATTTTAAGTCCGGCTGGTTTCAAGTGTTCTGGATCTTTGTACCCTCACCAACAGTTTTCTAGTCAGATCTCAGGACAAATTCTGGACTGCCCTGCAATTTTTTTTGATTGGTTGCTGATTTATTTATTTTACAACTTATTGAAAGCAAATTCTTTTGACCACTTAGCAGATTTTACACAAACATGACTCAGTAGGGTTGTGTATGTGTGTGTATGTGTGTGTGTGTTAACCGATGCTGAAATGAGGCAGTCAGCCAGAAACCATTCATTCATATTTCATAGACACACCCACTAGAGAAAATCTAATGCGGGAAGGACAGATGTGGTCTTGCACTTGGGTGAGCGGCCATGTGAGTCCGGTCACTGGTCAGTTGTTTGGATTGTAACCCTTGAAAAATCATTAAACATAAACACACATGTCGCACAAACCTGTTGTTTTTTCTAGCCGATTGACACGTGTTCTGTAAATTCCCTTTATGACTTTATGTGAGAATGATAGACAACAATCTGGACAGACACAGAGGGCTGAATGGAGAAAAGAATGAAAGGAAAAAGTGGTTGAACAGATAAAGGACGAAAAAAAATGGAGGGATGTTTTTTACACCTTCTTTAATCAATTAATGAGGAAAAAGTGGTTGAACAGATAAAGGATGAATAAATGGAGGGACATTTTTTTTAATCAATCTTTAATCAATTGCATTTGTAATTAAATCTTGGTTTCTTAAGTCTCCTTTTTTGATTTGACATGTTTCCTTTAACCGTTCTCCTCATATGTCTTATCTCCTTTGCTCCTTTACTTATCTCCGTTGCTTCCTTTCCTCCTGTTTTTTTCCATTCGCCCTCACCTCTCTCTGTGTTTTTGTGTTTCCTGACAGGACGACCATACATGGGTATGAAGTAACAACCTAAGGATCACTTATCCTCTTCCGAATCCTGGGCCTCCCCCTTACTCTTCAAACAAAGCTGCTGTTTCTTCACCACTTAAGCCTCCCTGACACCAACAGAAGTGGGAGAAAGAAGCAGAGCATAGAGAGACAGAAGGAGAGGAGAGAGCGCGGAAAGAAGAAGATCCTCCCTAACCACAGAAACACTTAGAGAGAGGAGGAAGAAATGCTGTGCTTCTGTTGAGGCTGCAACTTTAAAGAACCATCATCACAATTTAATAAGTATTTCAAAGGCTGCAAGGTCCTACAGATACAGGGCGGGCTCCAGTTAAACCAAGTAACGGCAAGAAAGAGAGGTACTGCGAGAGACTGAAGAAAACACTGAAGAAAAGCTTTAAAACTTTTTTGTTTTTTTTTGTAAATGTGCAGGAAAAACAGGGAACAATGACCGGAACCAAAAAAAAGAATTTTTACTTGTGTTTTAAAGTTCTGAGCTAGGAAAAACTGCATAGAAAAACCCACCAAACAAATTTAAGTTTCTGCTCTGAAAACCAGAGAAGAAAAAAAATAAACAGAAAGAAAAAAAACTCCTACAGAAAAAGCGTCACCTTTCACCTATCAGCTCGACTGTTTAATGCTGAAGAC